ACCCCCCCCCCCCCCCCAATTTTACTCAGGTCTCCTTGTTAGAGGTTAGCAAGGTATTTCCCTGGCCCCGACAGCGACAGCACTTTCTTCTCCTGACCGTGCGGCACTTTCTTTGCCAAGGAAGCAGAGAGCTGTGTGCCGGGCAGGCTGGGCACCACTGTGGGCACACGGAGCGGCACTGATGGGCCCAGAGCCCAGCAGGAGGGGCTGGCCCCAGCAGGGCTACATCCCCCCCAATTCAGTGGGGACCACTCACTGGGGCTCCCTGCACCCCCCTGGACCAGCCCAGCCCTTCCCGGGGAAGGGAAGCCTGGGGTCCCAGGCACAGTGTGTGCTCCGGTCCAGGGAGGCAGGTTGGATCTGCAGGGAGGCCGAGGAGAGAGGAAAAGGCGTTTCAAAACAGAGCGATTCCTATTATTATCAGTAAAAGAAGCTCTCCATACAATGGATGGGGGCTGCTGTGGACAAGGCTGTGAAGGGATGTTTAGAAACTGCTGTCTAAGGTTAAAAAGCTCTCTGAAGTGAGGCTGAACAAAGCTGACATACTTGTTTCTGACAGGACTCTTAAAAGATATGCACAGATTGTGAAAATATAATTAGATGCCAGCTTTTGTCTGGCCACAACGAGTGGGAAATGGTGAAAGGAGAGGTCTCCCAGTCTGCATTGAATCATCCCCAGGACACAATGAGGGCGCTTGTGCATCCTTCTCTCTTCCCTAATGAGAAACGTTAATTGCCACAACCTCCAGAGTGTGTAGAGCACCCCGTGCCCAGCGGAGGAGAAGGGGTGTTTCATTACAGCTTCTCAGCCCCATTACAGGCAGTAACAGAGATAATGGAAAATAAAGATGCCGCAGTTTTGGTTTCAGCAGCTTGGCGATGGGCACCGGGTGGGCGGGGGGCGAGCAGGGCCCAGCAGCGTGCCAGCCCCCATGGGCTGCATCGGGCAGGATGCAGCCAGCAGGACCCCCCAACAGCTCCAGACACCCAGTGCCCCACCTGTTCCCCCCATGGGTAGCCAGGCTGCAGGGCACGGGGCCCTGTGGCACCTCCAGTCCCTTCTCCAAGGGGGCAGCAAGGGGACCGGGGGGGCAGAGGTGGGCAAAGCCCGTCTCAACCTGGGGCTGCCCTACAAGAGCAGTCCAGCGACTGCTACGGCTGCGTCCCCCCCTTTCCGAGCGGGGACCCCCCAGCTGGCACGCTCCTGCCGTGGGGCTCCAGCCCCCAGCTGGGGCAGGGTCCTGCTGCTGGGGGGGGAGGAGGAGGGCCACGGCCACCCCTCTGCACCACAGGCTCTGGCCCCCGCAGCCGCACAGAGACACAGTGCACAGCCTTCACGCAGGTCGTGCCGCTCCATGGTGCCAAAGCAGGAAACCCTTCCCAGGTGACGTGGGCCTCGGTCTCCCGGCACCGCACACAGCCCTTCACCCTACAGCAGCTTTTATTGCAACTACGGCGTCCAGCCAAGCAGGGAGCGCAACAGAGATGCGTTTTCCTAAGCTATGATCAGGGCCCTAACTCTGCAGGGCACACGGAAAAGGGAGTTAACAGGACGGCAAAGTACAAAGCAAGTCAAGGCGTGGGGGAGAGGCTGGTGCAAGGGACAGCCCCGCCATGCCCGGCCGTCCAGGGGAGCCGGAGCAGGGCGAGGGTGCCCCATGGTCATCCCGGGACCGGCCTTCCCCGCGGGATCCTCCCAGGCGCTGAGGAGGGAGTTCAGATTGTCTGCCAGGGTTTGCCAATGGACTGGATGTGCTCCTTGGCTTTCATCCGCAAGGCGGCAATGCTGGTGTTGCGCGGGTCTGCCTCGTCCAAGGGGAACTTGTCCACAAAGGTGGCGCCGCACTGGTAAGGCGGGGGTGGCCCCATGGCCCCCAGGGGCTGCAGTGCGTGGGTCACTGCCGGAGAGTTCAGGAACGGCGGCGGCGTGTAGCTGCCGGGCAGGCTCTGCGGCGAGGCCACGAAGCCGGGCAGGGTCTGCAGGGCCGTGCTGCTGGGCACCGGCGGGCTCAGCCACGTCTCCAGGGGCAGGTTGCTGCTGAGGGGACCCATGGGGGTTGCCTGGGGCGAGCGGTTGAAGGAGAGGATGGGCGAGTCCTGCAGCTTCATGGAGGTCACCTCCAGCTTCTCCTGCCGCCTCCACTTGGCCCGTCTGTTCTGAAACCACACCTGCAAGCACAGCCGGGTCAGGGCAGCGTGGCGGTGCCGTGCCAGACAGGGCAGAGGCCTTCCCCCGGGCACACAGGGGACGAAGCCGGTGACACCATAGACCCGCAGATGTCAGGGCAGGAGTGGGACCGGCCGGGCTCGGCAGCCCCGGGCTGAGCGGGAAGCAGCGCCGGGGGGGAAGCGGCGTGGGGAGAGACCAGTGTGGGGCTTGCCCGCTCACTAGCCACCCGCTAGCCATCCGCTAGCCGCCTCCCGGCGCACCGCGGCCTCGGCTGCCCCGGGCCGGGACGCACCAGGAAAAGGGCAGCGGCGCTGACGCCGCGGCTGCCGGAGGGAAAACGGCGGCGGGGCTCCGCGGCGTCCTGCCGTCCCAGCCGGGCCCGAACGTCGGGGCCGTGCGGCCGGCGGCGGCTGCGGGGACGCCCGGCGGTGGCCGTGG